TCTAAGGCCCTCGCATGCAGTTGCATTGCAGGAAACGGGGCTAAAAAGATACTAGAGGCGGGACAAATTATTTTTTAGCCAGCAATCTCCAGCAGACAGCCATACCGGATCGATAACGTTCTCTAACCATAGTTATTCTTGGTTACAGTAACTAATACAGCTACGGACTCGTAGTTCAATTGCAGGGACTTGAAATTCCAAACACCCAAGGACCAAGGGATATGGGTTCGAATCTCAGATTACCCAAACTCAATGTCAGAAAGGATTGAATGACCACAGTTACAACGATAGACACTCCGGTTTCCCTTACCTTCATCCGTACTCCATACTGTACAGAAGTCAACGCATATTAGGAAAAGTCTGAAAAAAATAGCCCTTTGTTTTTTTTACTGACAGAAGGCGTTTATATGAAGTTTCCCATGTCAAGGGTCCCATGTTCTGCATTAGAAATCACTCAAGAGAATGGACTCCGAATCAGTTGCAGCTCTCTAAAAACACTTGACTCCCTCTAGACCCAGAAACAAAAAGTGGTTACACTCTGCTTGATAGAAGTAGTTCTTTCCTGTAATTTGTCATTTACCGCAGCCAAAAGCTGCAAATTCAGACATTTTCTAAAACAGTTAAAGTGTAAAGGCTTTCTGTCACGTTTTTGATTACTTGTCTCCAACTTTATGAAACAAAGGTCTTATATAAGAGCTCTTACACTTATTAATTTAGTAGATTCAAGATCAATGACAAACTTACAAGTCTTCTGCGTTTCTCTAACTTGGCCAGGTAGCCTCGACACTGGGTTTGCATTCTGATGAGGAGACCATTGCCAAAAGCGGATTCCAAGTCGTCCACAGGGTTATAATGGAAGGTAACCTAGAACAGAAGGATAGAGGGAAGAATAGTAAAAACTGTTTGAAATAAGACAGTTAAAATGCTTTAATCAGCGATCTGGGCTAACTTAACCGGAAGTATTTAACTAAGGGAAGGGGTCAACACAAGTTCCGTTGCCTTTTTTAGCAGTATGTGCGTACACGAAGTTACTGCAGTTGCGGTAGACCTAACACAACTGTCGTGTTGATTTCCTATCCAATACGTCTTGCAAAGCAAATGACCAGTTCCATGTCTCATTAGAGATTAGGCGTAATTTATAAAACTACTTCGAGATAATTTGACATTGCTTGACTAATAGGCCATGCTGAGACTGAAAGGATTGTTTTACGTACATGGAGAAAGTCGTTTGGACTTTAATATTCGACGAGACTCTTTGTGTTCCGCAGTATGGAGGAGAAGGGACGATGAATTGCGGGTGAATAAGTTTCAGTGGTAGTATACATGACTTGCATCTACACTGCAAGCTATCGAAAACGGGCCACTAGTTTTTATTTTCTTCATGTACATGTAAAGCTCTTATATTTACACCAGTTGGCCTATTTCGTGCATTACAAACCGATCTTACTTCTTTTTGCTCATTCGAACTACAACCACGAGCTTGCTACAGTATGAGGGTAGGACCATTTTGAAAAAAGTTTAATTTTGCCTGAATTTTGCGACTTATTCAACGACCATTAGTCACGATTTTGGAAACTGCAGCGTTTGGCCATTGTTTAAGATCTTCCGGTTTTATGTGGTCTTTGTGCCTAGTTTACCTTACGGTCAATGAAAGGCGCTGTTGATGAAAAGTTTAGGATTATACTTTCAAAATAAAACGTATTTCTGTCTCTCACCGTCTCTCTCATTCTCATTCTCTGTCAAGACAGAGTCAAGAAGACTGCAGGTGGTATCGGGCGCAGGTGACTGGAGTAGCATGAGTCTGCACCTCTGAGTGCTACCACACTCGATCATGTGGGGCATCTGTTATGGGAGGGCATCCCGAACAACGCCTATCGTAACCTAGTCTAGCTATCGTACTGGTCCATCGAATCTATCGCGCACCATAGCCAAGTCAACACGGCGAGATAAACAGTGATGCACTTTTTGTCAAGCACAGGGTGTTCGGTAAACAATACGACCCCAAACCCGGTTTTGTCGTTGCAGTAAGGCTTTTTGGGGATCATACAGACCAGTTTGCATTGAATGGAGCTTTGCGTGATGTCACCTAGTATACCATACACCGTCTCTGGTAGGCTAGAAGCTGATCTGTCACTGACATACGTTTGAGGAGTGCAGTAGACAGCAAACTTCAAAACACGAACCAGATAGTTCCACTCAGACGCCCAAACCAAATACCTGGACAAACACTCCCCTATGTTAAGGATGCATCATAATTCATTAGAATATATTTGAGGTAAAATCGAATATAAGTGGCGTGCAAGCCGACGACGCCATTACGTTCGCGACTTGTACACCTTAAGGAGGACGTTGAATATTTAAGTAAGATGGTAGTCATTTATAAAACTACTTGCAGTACATAAGATGTCCCCTACTGCCGTCAAACCGCAAACACTGTCTATTCACGAATTTAATAATAGCAAATGACTGCAGTTGTACAAGCAGTATTCAAATGTTTCTTTCGGCCAAACAGCAACAACCAGACGTCTGCGATAACGGAAAGAAGTTTTGCTCTGTTCAGTTCAGATCCATTTAATGTGAGTATACTAATCCTAAAAACCTATATTCTAATGCTCCGTCAAAGGATAAAAAAATTTCGAATCACTATCATCCAGAATCCTGTTGCACTGTTGTGGCACCACGAAATGGGAGTCAGGCAAGCGGTAATTTTTTGAATCGAAAACCCATTTTAGAATTTTTGTTAGCATTTCATGAGGTAAGGAACCTACTGTATACTTATAATCTGCGTTAGTAAGGATAGTTTCATCGTTGCAGTTGAAAACTTCCACCGCCCACTCCACGGCTTTGGTGCAGCAACGTTGGCTTACACTTAAATAACTTTGTAGTGAGGTAGACTTGGTCTGTATCTACCACAGTTTCCCCATCTTGCTCTAAGAGCAAGACAATGCCACCACGACTGGAGATGGATTTGGTCACAGTTCATAACAAAGTAAAAGTGCGAACCCCCCTCCCACCCTCTCTTGCTGTTTCTCACTTTCTCTGACAATGGCTTCTCGTGTGGATTCGAAAGCTCAGAAGAATAAAATTACCGTGCCAGCGATCGCGTCCTCTACTTCTTTACAACAAGAACCTGGGGCACGCATATTTGCATATTCGTGACAAAGTAAAATGTTTCATCTGCATGCTCCAAATCCGTCCTGCTCCTCAATAATTTTACCAGGTTTGTGAATCTAAGCTAACAACCACGGAAAGCTATCAAAAGTATCCCTGGCTTCTTAGCTTGTTGAGGGTCAAATAGCGTGAGCATAGCGTCAGGACCATCGAAGGTCAGTGCTCATAAGTGTATTCATGGTATGTCATGATTATTCGTTGATGAACGCTCACAGATTGCTAATGGAACTCACTCGTCCGGTTCTGCCTTGCTGCTCACTCTCGAAACCGCCTAGCAGCCGCAACGCGGCCAGTATTGTAGGCAGATGGACATTGCCAGCAAGGATAAAGGAGACTGGAATGGCCATTTATGGCTCATTAGCCGTCATCAGCACAAATACTTGGGACGCTCTCCGAACCTTAGGTGAGACAGAGAGACACCGGGCTCAGATGAATGAGGGAAGAGAGAGTGTGGTTTATGCAGCGGGAAGTCGACTATCAACTAAAATCTAACTCACGCTCAAGTAACTGGACCAAACTGTTTGGAGCATAAGTTAGACATCATTAAGAGTGATGGCCGAACTGTCGCGTGCAAAACCGGGAGCTATTGGTTGCTCACAAACCAATCTGGACGCCCGAGCGACACAAAGCTTTATCAAATGACTTTCAACGGCCACAGTACTCGTAAGTACATGTTCCCATCATTTATGCTTATGTCTTACCACTCAGATATTGTTACGGTATAGGAAATACCATGTTGTCATGCTTAGATAATCCTGGGATATATTGTGCCGTTATTTAGACAGTCGGCGTTCTATTAATTCCAACCTCTAGCTGGATACGGTAGCAATTTTATAGTTAGATTGAAATGGTAATTAGCACTAAATTGCGACATAAAAGGGTGGTAAAACCTGAGTTTATCATGCAGAAAGACGGTACTCTGAAGTTATGCGTTGTCTATCAGAAGCTACACCCAGTGACTACAAAAGATAATCCTCCTGTGGATCGGAAAGATGAAATCCTGAATGCCATATCGGGTAATCGGGCTTTCTCGACGCTAGATTTAGTCGTCGGATATTGGCAGGCATTAGTCAAGCCGTCTCCCATGTCATTCCCATCTAGAGCCGACTTCCTACGTGTATATTTACGTGCTCGTTAGATCTACTACAGTAACAGTTCCCTCTAGACTATACAAACTAAAATAGCAAGTATCACCACCCTCACAAATATTGCACTATTTCTGCTGCACTGTATTTTCATACTGTTATCCTTTAGTACCATACGTGTATTGCACCTAGTTAGGCAGAAGAGGTTCTGTTAATTTTAAGGTAGAGCTAGGTACTATAGACAGTCAAAGATAGCCTGAAAAAACAGCAAATGACTCTTTCTTACGACCTAAGTGCATGGTAGATCTTCAGCTATTATTACATACACGTTCCTTTAACCCTTCATTTTACTATAATCCCAATATAGGTTACGAATGCATACTAGGTTCAACTTCCCTACATGCACGTACAGGCTGCATTGTAGTTCACTAATTACTGGTCTTAGCAAATATGATTATTAGAATGAGCACGCTTGATATTGACATAATACTTCTAGCAGCAGTACCCTTGCTCTTCTAGTCTACGCTTTAGGGAAAACTGCCACAGTTTTGGTAAATAGAGGTAGGGGAGTAAAAAACAGGGCAAGCATTGATGTGCTCCGAGTCTCAAACATCTACTTTACTCGGAATAGCATAAATCCAGGTCCCAACTCCTAGTTGACATCGAGAGAACACGAGCCAAGCGCTGACTCTAATCAGTGTCATTTCTGACCAATTATTAGCGTTAGTTAGGGCACCAGCATTACTATCACTCGGCCTCACTGCTAGTTGACAGTCTCACTTATCTACCGGACGTGAACGCTCGCCCAGGTATCTTACAAATAAGCCCAGATGAAATTTGCTATGCTTTTTGTAAGAATGGGATGCATGTCAGGTATTGATACAATTATAGGAATATATTACTAGAATATAATATCCACTGGTCTTAGTAGGTATTATTAATAGAATTAGCACTCTTAACCGTGGAAAATTACCCCTGGCAATAGTATCCTAGCCCAAACTTAGTAAAATGTGACACGGCTTTGGTGGACAGAGGTGAGAGGGCGGAAACCAAGAAAAACCCCGATCTGCTCCGGCTCCCAAACATGTACTTACTCGGAATAGTTGATACCCAGAATCACACTCCTTGTGGAGATCAGAGGAGTATGAGCCCCAGCATTGGCTTTAATCAACGTCACCTCTGACAAACGGTAGCGTCAGTGTTGGTACCAGTACTACTAACGCGCAGCTGCATTGCTAGTTAGCTAGATAGTAGTAGTAGGAGTAGCCGTATCCGTCTCCGCCTTACTACGCCTGTTTTTGATACCTACTGAAGGTGAGTAAGGGTACATAGTGCGGTAGTACTCGCGCAAAAGGGTATTGTCAGTTAAGACTAAGTTAAGCGGTGTTTTCTGGCTTGCATTGAAAAAAGCAGCCAACACCGGATCCAATCCCGTCTTCTTGACCCATGGTGAAGGTGGAGTGTGCTTGTTGCTAAGTGCTTCCGCTATCACTTTAAGCTACCCCCTGTAACTGTCACCTTCTGTACCTACATGGTGATGCACTTGGTTGGCTTCATCGCAATCGTTTGGCGAACACACACTTCATGGCAATCACTGTACCAGATTCTAGCGACTGCCAGCTGGACGCGTACATACTACTGATTCATGTCTGACGAGAGAAGCCAGAGAGAGAGGGCGAGCCTGGGCCACTACATGTTTTCCTTTATATATACAATATGCGGTGCTTTTTTCTATCAAGACACTTTAATTTAATACCTTTGGGAGTTGCCAACTGATGAGTAACTCATCACCTTCGGGGACTGAACCTTATTGAGCCCTTTTAAGCGTGCTCCTTATAGACCGTTTTTTTAAAGCCCGGTTCAAAAACCTTTAGGGATTAGTACTTATGTGTCACGTGAGCACGTGCAATTAGTCATACGTCCCACTGCGCCTGTGTCAACGCCTATGCGCCTTTAGACAGCCCGTCTAATATTGGAGCACGACGTATGGGGGAGGCTGGGGGAATGGGGGCGAAACTGGGGTGGATACTGCGTAACGCTCTCTCCAGAGCCCGATTGACGGGGAAGTGGTTATCACGCTATCTACACGGAGGTGGCAGCTGTTTTTAACTACTAATTTTTGGTTTAGTACAGCCGTCTATGTTGAAAGGCCCTTGCAAAATATTAAGAAAGATCAAAGAAAAGCGACGGGAGAGGGGGCTGACGGTGCCTGGATATGCCACACGTTGCTAACCATTTTTCGTATATTATTGCACGAGAAGAATAATGAATAATCGAAAACACGCCTTCTCCGTCGGCTCTCGTGGGTATAGCCACAGTACTCTGGTCAACATTTTTGAATTAGATTGGGCTTCAGTTTGTTCATTTGCCATGCCTGTAAGTATAGAAGTAGGCTAGGCAAAAATTAAAAACTTAGTATTTAAAAAAGAAGAGATTTCAGCCTCATATTAATTTACTAACAAAAAAACCTGACAGAGCTCATATTCGGTTTTTTATCCA